TAGAGGTAGCATTTTTTTTTTCAAGCAACTGTTCTAATGTTCACTGTATTTTGGCTTTATTTTTTGTCCCAGTAAACCTCAGCTTAGATGAAGCATCTGGTTTTCTGTGAAGTCTTAATTTTTTTATTCAGTTCTACAGCTGCGTAAACTCAAGCTCAAAGAGACTAAGAGTCTTGCCCAAGGTCAGACTGAATCGGTGGTTGAGTCAGGAATAGAACTCAATTATGTTTTGGATTTTTTTTTTTTTTAAACAATAACATGCAGTGGCTGTAATGAGAGGGTTTAAAAGAAAATCGACAGTTTGAAATTATTGTTGAGTTTGTCTCTTTTCCCTGTTCATGAAGGAAGTGTGGCCTCAGATGACTCAGAGTTTGGAGGCCCTGAGCTAGTTACAAAGTAAATCCAGTTTTACTTAACTGTACATGTATTAAAACAGCCTCAGATAGTGGTAGCCTTACCTCACATGACTTAGGCCTGATTTTCAGAACACAGAAGAGCTGCAGTAGGTCCAGAAGGGAAGGAAGGAGAGAGGTGCCCAGAATGACCAAAGAAGTGATAATTCCAGAGCTGACAGAACTTGGAAATATTCTTTCCTTGCGAAAGGCCTGGATTAGCACGAAGAACACAGACGTGCCAAGCTGTAAGGTGTAGGTGCGGTGCACCAAGGAGGGGTATATTTCATGGAGATAAAGGAACTAATCTGTCACTAATGTTCTCCAGTAGGACCCATGCCCTGAAAATCACTAGCACAAGATACCTTAATGATTTTTCTGTAACACTAGCTTTTACCTGTCTTCTGTCACAGAGACGTATATACAAGCTATTACAGGCTAGCATGTATGTAATGGCATAAAACTTTATGGAAGACAAATAGTAGTCAAAGACCTGCTTCTGCAGAGCCCTATTTCCCATTGTAGCAAATTTAAGTTTAAACAATGTCACTTATCAATCTATTAAGCTGTCAGCATCTACACAAAAATAGTTTGTGAGGCCACCTGCAATTTATGACCAATTTGTGTCAGACTTTCCTGCATAGAGAGCTGTTTAGGAGCCCTCAATACAATGTTCTCAGTACAGTTAATAACTTCCTGTAATGTTGATTTTGCTGATGGTTTCTATAAAAAACATTTCAGCTGTCAAATGAAGATTTGGATTTTCTAAGCTAGGAGGCAGAAGCAAAGGAAAAATTTATTTTTTTTGGAAATATAAAGGTATTATTCTGTTAATGGAATGAAGTAACTAAGAAGATTGATTAGAAAACTTTTGAAGAAAGATGTTCGGAAACGCGTCTCGGGGCTTCAGTACTGATTCTTTGCAGGGTTATGTCTGAGAATGCCTGTGCGCTGAATTGTATAACTGAAGAGACTCTCAGAAAGGAATCATGATGTAAAGTATTAATCGTGTCCATCAAATGAGCCTAAAAGTTCAGTTCCCTAAAAGAAACACTTGAAAATACAATTAAAGCATAAGCAGAGTTATTGCACACCGTTCTGCCTCGGGTATTTGGAACGTGCGTGCATGTAACCTTGAAAGCGCACAGGAAGAGCAGAGCATATCATTACTTCAGTTTTCAAGAAATTGGCCCAGTAAAATATATTGAAGTCTCCTACTGGTATTTGTCATCAAAGCCTAAGGCTGCCTCCAGCTGTATGCTTTATTTAGGGAAATGCATTGCAAGGTATTGGCTGAAAACACAAACTCTAGTTACGTTCCTTAACTGACTGTTTTCCTTATGTCTGAGTTTGTTTTGAATTTTTGCAGGTGAGGATGAATATTGTTTAGCATTTGCCGTGTTCCGAGTATAACACTTAACTGTTCTTTGTAAAGGACCGCTAACAGGAAAGAGATGTTTTCATTGTATCTCCTTGTGTAAGTCACTTGGGAAGGAGGAATAATAAGCTTCTAAAGTCAGTGAGGCAGTTGGGTGTCTTTGCTGGAAGGCATGTGTCAGTCCATCTCCATCTGGCCATTGTGACTTCGGCACTGCACAAGAAAGCCACTTTGATGATGGTTCACCAAATTGTTTTCATCTGTGCACGGTAGATATCCATTGAATAAACAAGTTGCCTGAAACATAATGTAGTATTAAAGTCACCAAGGCTTTATGGTCAGTGCACAGCTATGCAACCTGATCTTAATGCTGAATTCATCAGAAAAGCTGCCCATGAACCTATGTTTCCAGCAGATGTTTCTGTTTTTTAAGCAGAGACATTATAATCTTTTATTTGTCTTTCATTTCTTTCCATGAAAGCACAGTAGGGACAGTGTTTATCCCTGGTGATCATATCTGCCAGGTTGCAATCCTCCCTTAGACATAATAATTTAGCTGAATGTGCAGATCTTTTCTGAAGCTAGCTTTAAAAGGGGGGGGTAGAGAGAACAACCTCAAAAGAATGAGTTTCCCAGGCTCACAAATTCTTAATGAATATAAGATTGTGGATTTTAATGTAATATTGTCTTTTAGAAAGCGTTGAATATGATCTAATTCTACAGGGAATAAGTTGGCAGCTCTTCAGACACTTTCAGTCTTCAGCAAATGTAAACCAGTGCCACTTTGTCTTCAGTGGGACTATGACGATTTACTTCTGCTGTTCTTTTTTTCCAATTTTGTTCATATTAGTTAAGTCTACAAATTTGGTGAAGTTGCTCTTCATTTCTAGCAGTGTTAATGAGATTGGAATGCTCTGTTCCCTCTGTGACTAAGTAAATACAAAGGTATTAAATGGGTTCATAGTCTGTAGATGCACTAGAATCCAGGAAAGTGTTAAGCTGCTAATTAAGGTGACTCCCACCTGACATGCACTTAGTTTTACTGATGTGTAAATCTCATGTAACTGAAGCACAGAGCTGAAAATGTAAGGTGAAATTTTACAAAATAGACTGAACGTCTTTAACTCCAGTTTATGCACTAACATCCACGTCTGGATTTTGAGTGCTCTGTGAGAGGTGCTGAATGCTGAGACCTTCTGATGATCTAATCACTTCATTTAAATGATAAAACAGGAGTTCAGATCTGCTGAAAACCTGGCTGATTTGTGGGTTTGGAGCAGACTGGAAAAATCTAGTTTTTTCAATTAAGAAAGATACAGACGGCTAAAGACGTGCACCGTATAAATATGCTTTTACTTCAAGTTCAACTTGCTTCAAGCTCCTTTCATACCTTGATTATTTTAAAGATAGTTAATTGAATTAAGTGATGGCTTTTTACCAAGACAAATTAGCCTTGGTTAATTGAGATGATTATGAACGTGTAGTAATAACACCAAAAGTAACAGATGTTATTGAGAGACCTTCTGAAAATATGTGCAGCAAATCTCAGTATGGCAATGGGTCAAAACACATGAAGCTGTAGTAGATGTGGAGCTTTTACATTCACAGTCCAGCAGAGGTCTGAGAGCTGTGTGAAAGCTGTGCAAGGCAGCAAGAGTATCTGCAGGGAAAGAAAAAATGAAGGAAAGATTTTAGGACTATCACACATGTCTAATTTTATGTTGTGATAAGAATAATAGCAGTAGCTAGTCTCCACCAGTTAATTAATACAAATTAATGGATAGGTTGGAGCTCTGACATAAACCCCTGATTTGACCACTACATTTCTAATGCTTGTTTGTAGGATGACCCTATACACCTTACGCAAGGTAGTGACCTTACTTCCTAAGTTTCTCAGGCTGTAACATCTTCTTTTTAAAGTATATTGAGGGTTGCGGATGAAGGTCAGCTGTGTGAGAATTGTGTGCTACGATGTTATTTATTAATAAATAAATTCCCTTATATCAGATGGGGATGGGGAGGGACAAGAACAAACGTTAGTTTGCGGTTACTTCTTCCCAGTCCACAGCCTGAGCTTTCCTGAGTGGGATGACAGATAATCTGTCTAAAGGTGCTTATCACTCTCAGCTTGCAGAAAAAGGCTTGAGGGATACCAGCTTCTATGGAGGCATCTCAAGATTGTAAGTCAGTTTTCCACCAGTATTTAGTCTCCACAAGCTGCTAATGAGAACAGCTCATCTCTAATCATGCCAGTAGATCTTCAGCTAGGTCTTTTCTTGCCAAGTTTGCATGTCTATTGTTCTTGATCCTCCTTTGTTTGAAATTTCTCTTTCCTCCAGTGAATATATATGGCAGATTTGGATTCACCTGCAGGTCTGAGTATTCTGTCTTCTGTCCCGAGCTCAGACTGATGAATGCTTCACAGGCATTGCTTTGGTTTTACAGTTTCTCTCTTTATTACTTCATTTATTTTCTTCCACTCTATCCATGGTCATATGTTCATCCATGTTCATCCACTATCTCTGTCAGATTTTATTCCTCTACATACCACAAATCTTAGCTGGAAAGGCACTGCCACCCATGATGTTTTGCTGGTGGCTGCACAGAAGGGGTGGTATGAAACCAACTTCTTTGGCAGGCTTCCTCCTCTGCTTTTCAGTCTTGTGCTGTGCTGTGACAGTTTGGCATGAATAGAGTAGTTCAGCTCTCGGCTAATGCAAACCGATTTAGTTGTTCTGGCTTACGTAGAGCTATACTGATTTAAACCAACTGAAAGCTCAAATTCGCCGTTCTTTTTTTCCCCGCTTATGCCAGTGTATCTCAACTGAAGGTCTAGTCTGCTGTCTTCCATAGGCACACAGTCATTTCTATTAAGATAAATGTGATAATGAAGTTATAGCCTATCAGTGAGCACTGCTGTGTATGCAGGCATTTAAACTCGTGTCACTAGACTTCAAAGGATATCCTGCATAATCAGGCAAATTGCTTGTGATTTGAAGGTAAGACAAATCTTCAGTGACTCAGTAAACAAAATAAACAACAGTATATTGAGCGTGCATTTTGACTGACTTCTGTGATTCCTATGTGCAGTCTATTTTAAACTAAGTACTGAAATAAGCATATTCAATTGGTTAGAAGTGTTTTTCAGAGTACATGAGAATGTACATAAAGTAGACTGAATCTGTTCCTGCCAAGTTGTTCCTTTTGTTTATACCATATCATGTAAATTTAGTTTGCTAAATGTAAGCATGGTTTCCTCTCAGAACTAAATCCCATATCCAGTAACAGGAAGAAGAACATTTGGAGTTCTAATGAGAAATGCCTAATTGTCCTGATCGGATTCCTTTAATACTTTCTTTTCCCTTGGTACTGGTGTTATATCCATTCCATATTAAGTTCCAAAAATTCCTGTCTTTGCTTCAAGTCTCTTAGCTACTGTGATAATGTATGGTCTCTCACTTTCTGACTCTGTAGGTCCTTTAACACTTTATTGTGAAGGCCTTTTGAAAGATGAAATAAGCTATTACAAATAGTTCTCTGTTTTCCACTATCTTATGAATTCATTCAAAGAACAGGATAGATCAGTGAGACTGTGTAATTCGGTTAGACTCCATTGTGCTGCAATCTTTGTACTCATTCCAAGTAATATGCAAGGTTTAATGGTCACTAAACAGCTTTAGATTTGGGTTGGCCAGAACGATCTTTGAATTAAGAACTACACAGAATACCAAAATGCATGAGAGCTGTCTCATTCTCAAACTTCCTCCTTTCTTTTCTGCATGTTTCTCCTTTTTGTGTGATACATATCCTTTTCTCTCTCATTCACTTTCCATAGAAAGACAAGGGTAAAGGGCAGCTGAAGAAAGAAAATTATATTCTTTCAAAAGATAAATTATCTGGACTCGTTACTGTGTAGTGCTGCCTAGAACAAGGGAAATCTAGAGCCCTTAGGACCAAGTGTTAACTGGGAGTGCTAGAGCTACTGTGGAGGTAAGTTCCTCCTTCAGCATGAGTTGAACCTAGATCAATCATTGATTTGATGGCACAAAGCATTAGTTCTAAATGATATAAACCTTTCAGAAGGTAGATTATAGAGCGTATCCCTCCTCACTAAAAGGCAGTAAGAGTTATACCTCCTGGGACAAATAGTGTGCTGTTGCACCAGGTTTGAACAAAGCCAATAATGTTATTACTGTATCTGATTACAAGCTGCTGACTCCCTTCCTTAGATCTTATAGTTAATTTTAAAGCATCAGGCTGTGATTATGAAAGACTGCTATTAAATGCAGTGTTATGTCCCCTAACGTATGTTTAATGTATGTGGTGGTATGCCCTCATGTATTAAGGGTTACAGATAAGCATGACATTCTAGCATAAGAAGTATTACTGCTTTGGGATGCTGTAACATTAGAATCCAGGATGCTGTGGGTTTTTTTCCCCCTCTAAGATATTCATTTCATAGGACTTCCATTCAGTATTCATAATTTTTATGTAGGGTGCTGTTTAACTTAATACTGAGCTGTCTTCTACTGGAATGCTTAGTATTTAGTATCTATAGTTACCTTGTGATAGCCTTTGCACCTAAAAAGTTTTGCAAGCTCACAACTAAGCTATCATTTACAGCAGGTTTCTAATGTGTCTACTTCAAAAAATCCTCATTTGGGTTCTAAATGCAGTCCTGAGGTTGCTGCAGTGATGTTACTCAGCGCTCCTTAGACCACGTCTAGAACGCTGCAGCTGGGTTTGGGACTCCCACTACAAGAAAGATGGTGATAACTGCAGTGAGTTCAGTAGTAGGCCACCAAGATGGTTGAGGGGACTGGAGCACATATCCACTGAGGAAAGGCTGAGGGAGCTGGGCTTACTCAGCTTGGAGAAAGGACAGCTTCAGGGTGAGCTAACAGTAGCCTGCCAGTGCCTGTGAGGATGTCGCTGAGAAGACAGAGCCAGGCTTTTCACAGAGGGGCGTGATGGGAGACAACAAGCATGAGTTTGAGCAAGAGAGGTTCAGGCTGATTTCAAGAAAATCCTTTTCCCCATGAGGATAGTGAAGCAGTGAAACAGGCACGCAATCTCCGTTCTTGCAGGTTGTCAAGCCTCAGCTGGACAGAGCTTTTGAGCAACCTGCTTTGAGTTGGTAGCTGAACCTGCTTTGAGCAAGAGGTCTCTCAGGAGACCTTGCAGGAGGTCTCTAGTCTAGCCTCTTTGGTTGGACCCTTTCAAGTCCCCTCCAACCTTCCAACTTGGTTGGACTCTTTCAGGGCCCTTCCAGCCTCACTTATCCTATGATTCTATGTATTTCAGCTAGTAATTAGTCGTTTTGCCTAGAAAAATGCTCCGGATAAAGCTTGGAGACTTCCAAGAAAGTCGGGGAACTTATAGCTGAGTGATTCTTTTTAACTTTCTTGTGATCAAGCAAAACACTGAATAATTTTGAACAAATCCTAATGGCTTCAATTACTTTTCCCAAATCTGGCTGGAAACTATCCCAGTGTGAGAAATTCAAAGCGTATTTATCTCCCCTACTTGGTTAAAAGGGTGTTTTCTTATTAACATATCCAATTCTTTCTGCTAGTATAGGTCACCTACAGTCCAGCAGCCCAAGATACAAATTCAACTTCATAGCAGATGTGGTGGAAAAGATTGCACCTGCAGTTGTGCACATTGAACTTTTCCTCAGGTAACACTTTTAATTCTTTATATTTTAATTGCGTTATTTAACAAGGGTCTACAAAGATTTTTTCCTTTTCTTCCTTTTGCTATCAAATAGAACAGTGCATTAAAATTGTTTTGAATTACTGATATTCAAAAATACTCTGAAACGTTACAGCGGTTTCATCTAGAGAAGCAAGATCTAAAGATTACAAGAATGAGACATCATATGTAAAGTATCATCACCCATTTGTGTGTTCTGTTCCTGTTTATTAGTAGGCTTGTTTTATTGGGCTTAGAATCTTTACAGTACCTTACAACAGATCTTGTCTGCCCTCAAAGGCTATATAATCTTCTTTGAAGACCTTTGCAGTCTTCACAACAGTGTGATGTATTAGATTGTGTTTGTTATGTCAGAGTTTTAAAAAAAAAAACACTAAAAAATAACCTGTCAAGTACAGAAAAGTAAATGGGAAAAACATAGTGCTTTCTTGCTTATTCCACTTTCAGTGAGAGGTAACGTCAGGTGATATTATTGGATTACATTACTATTTAAGACCTTTTAGGTCTTTGCATATATGTTCTTAAGATTATTTGTCCCTTCTCTAAAAATAAATGTTTGCCCAGTGGCCTGCTAGACACGAATTGTGATACTGCCTTCTGCTTGGGATTGGCTCCAATTCTTTACTGCTAAATAGCCCAGAAGTTGCAAACAATTTCCTAATAAGGATCACATCTTTGAAGAAAGATGAATTTGTGGACCTTTTCTCATTTTCTACTGCTAAGGCACTTTCTGTTCCCCTAATGAATCTAAGGTGACTGCAGCAATTGTTCACAGGGAAAAGTCATAGTACCTTAAACAGTTCATAAAGTCTTTTAGCTATCTTCAGTGCAGCAAATGATGTCCCCTCCCCAGATCTTACCCATTTTTAATGTTTTTCATTTCCTCTCTCCTACATTTCTAATCCTTTCAGTCTGCAAACATACTTTTTCCTACACTTGTGCTTCATGATCCCCTGAGACCTCACCACCTCCTTTGCTCCCCTGTCCAGCTGCAAGATTCCTCCTTCTTCCCTGGGCATCTCTTTCTCGTTAGAGAATCAGTCCGTTTGTCAGCTCTGCCCATTTCCTGTAATCATTTTCTTTCATTACAGAAGCGGGTGGTGGAGTCAGATGAGCTCCTCTTTCTTCTTGTCACCTACCTTTTCCTCTTTGCAAGGAAAACTTAGAGATAGCGTTGAAAAAGGAAAGGACTATGTGATCTGCCAGTTGTCTGGAAACTTCAGCTCATGTCTCCCTGGCTGACTCAAAGCAGTCCACTGCTTTTCAGGAAGTGATCCTTTCTTCGTCAGTATTTTATATTTAATTTTTTAAGGGCTCTAACAGAAGTCGTCAAATGCTTTGGTATTTCTTGGGATGAAAGGTGGTGAATAATTTATGATGTAGTCTTCTTTTTTCCCTTATGACTTATTATTTATTTTTTATACAGGCACCCTCTCTTTGGTCGAAATGTTCCCCTTTCCAGTGGATCTGGGTTTATTATGTCTGATTCTGGTTTAATTGTGACTAATGCCCATGTGGTGTCAAGCACCAACGCTATATCAGGGAGACAGCAATTGAAAGTGCAGCTACAGAATGGAGATACCTATGAAGCAACCATCAGAGACATTGACAAGAAATCTGACATTGCAACAATAAAGATTCACCCTAAGGTGAGTGGTCTAAACAGAGGAATGAATGAATTTGGGAGCCTTATCTCAGTTTCTTTTAAGTACAGACTGACTGGCTGGAATACATATTTAGGGATTCCTCGGAAACAGATCTGGAGATAATGGTGTTGAGAACAAATTACATCTGTAGGCCTGGAAATCTTTCATATCTTAGAATTGAATTACTATGTCTCTTCTGTACTAGAACTGCTAAAAAAGAAAAGATATTGTGGCCCAGCTAATACGCGGCCAGATTCTGATGCCTTCAGCCAAAATGGTGTGTCTTCAGGCAAACCTAGTTTAGCGCATACATAGACTGTAAGATGGTACAGAGCGTAGTGGGAATGGCAAGGTGGTCAGTAGCCAATTTGTATGCTATTTCTGTGGGGGGGGAGGAGGTACAGTCTGCTGGAAAATAGGCAAATCTGGTTCTGAATTTTGTTAGCATTTTTTTTGAATGAAATTGCAAGGTACTGCTGCTAGTACTTTCTTTCTGAAGACAGTTGAAAGCGGTAATGCCCTACATTACTGTGATCTATCTTAAGTTTTGGGCATATGATAGAGTTGCTCTGCCATTAATGTAATGGACAGTATGCCTTCTGAATGCCTCGCTAGTTTTCGATCTTTTTAATCAGGTTATTTTCAGAGCTAAACTAATGCTTCTTCCTGTGTTTGTTTAAGAAAAAACTGCCTGTATTATTACTGGGACACTCTGCTGATCTGAGGCCAGGGGAATTTGTGGTGGCGATTGGAAGCCCGTTTGCCTTACAGAACACTGTGACAACAGGTATTGTCAGCACCGCTCAGCGAGACGGCAAAGAACTTGGCCTGAGGGACTCGGATATGGATTACGTTCAGACAGATGCTATTATCAATGTAAGTACTAGGTAGGCAAGGGGC